TAAATGAAGCGCCAAAACTGACAGCTGCATGAATGCGAAATGCATGTTTAAAGTGTCAGCACAATGTTGGCTTGTGAACTGCCTAATTCTTGTGACACACCGTCTACTTCGATATTAGTCCTTTTCTAACCACTTATTCGTTGTATGCTACTGTGAAGTGTCCCAGCTTGAACCAATGTACTTCTGTCTGAAGATCTACGTTGATTTTTTCTGTCTGAACAGTTTGGAATATTATCTCTACTACTGCCTATTATTTCACAAGCGAAAGTGACAAACTCGTGAATTTCAATCTCTTTCATGATGAACGGAACAAGGTGTGCTTATAGATTGAGGATATTTCTCTTCAGCTTCATGTTAGCGAGAACAAAATATTACTGCTGAATATCAAAATTGGATAAGGTTATCACTGCAGGGAAGGACTTCAGGTTTCCCTCTTTGACAGTGTGAATCACCTTCAATTTGCGTCAATAAACTTCTAGATGACCTCACATAAATTCTACAAATTATAAACAAGTCTCATAGCACTCTAAGATTTCTATTAAGAGGACTGTTTAAAATGATTAATCAGCTGCATATCTGATTTTCTGCTGAGGCGAAATCTGTCATTATTTCTTATCACCTTAAAAAGGTTCTCGTTACTTCTCCAGAGGGATGCAAAATTTAGAGGGTTACCATATTAGGACACGTACTACATTCAATTTGCTTGGATAACTGGAAGTTGTAGCATGCGCAGGACTTAGAGTTTTGGCGAATACGGTAATGCTGTCATATCGACTAACCTCGCCTGGTTAACTAGTTTACTAGTTACTAGCCGGTCCTAAGCCCGGGTAAAGACGGAAGGTTGGGCACATAGGGCTAGCAACCCTACCCCGTAAAACAAATCCAACCGCTAAAGAAACTTCAAAGCACAAACCATATATAAAAAATAAAAACAAACTTATTCCTCGCTGGAATCGGAGAGGCGAAATGACGCCAGTTGGTGAAAGCCTTCGGGAAGCCAATTGACCAGGCCGATGTGTCTTCTCACCCTCGATGAAAGCGAAAGTAAACGTGGGGACATGGAATGTCCGTACGATGTTTGAACCCAGCAAGGCAGCCCAGATTGCAAAGGAGATGAGAAGGTATAACATCGAAGTGCTTGGGATTTGCGAAAGCAGATGGAATGGGAGTGGACTCTCCAAACTCTCAACTGGAGAATCAATAATCTACTCCGATATTCCCATCCAGATTACAAATACCAGCACACTGAGTTATGGAGTGGCTATCATGATGTCCCCAACAGCATCAAAGGCTATCATGCAGTGGGAACCAATCTCCTCCAGCATCAGGATCATGACAGCAAGATTCAACTCAAAAGGAAGGAAGGTCACAATCATACAGTGCTATGCACCTACAAATAATGCAGAGCAAGAGAAGAAGGAGAAATTCTACAGACAACTTCAATCAATACTGACAAGACGTCAGTTAGAGATATCAAAATTCTGATGGGTGACATGAATGCCAAACTGAGAGTGGACAACACAGGAAGAGAACTAATCATGGGTCCAGAGGCATTCGGTGAAATGATGAAAGAGGATGGAGAACTGTTTGCAAACTTCTGCGCATTCAACGATTTGGTGATTGGAGTCAGGCAGTGTGTTCAAGCACAAGGTTATCCACAAAGCGACATGGATTTCACCAGATGGACACACTAAAAGTCAAATCGACTTCATCTCAATGTGAATAAAGTGGAGATGCAGTCTACTGGACACAAGATCAAGAAGAAGAGGAGCAGATGTAAGTTTAGACCATCAGACTATCTAGTACAAGGAAACTTCCAAATCAAGTTGAAAGCCTTCAAAGAAGTTGGTGATAGACAACAGTTTAAGTTCAACACCTAGAACACAAACTGAAGGATGAAACTACAAGGGACATCTTCACGTCAGCCATCAAGAGAAAATGGGAGATATCAAGGAACATCCCTGGAGGATAGAGCGTGGAAGAACACTGGAACTCTTTGAAAGAGATGTGGAAAGAATCCTGCATAACCGTGTTAGGAAGGAAGAAGAAGAGGCAAGACAAGGAATGGATCTTGAAGGACACATGGAAGCTGATAGAGCAGGGAGACGAAGATGGTGAAGCAGTGCAGGGATGTGCAACGACAAGAGGAACTGAGTACAATGTATAAAACACAGGACAAAGAGGTGAAGAAGAGTTGAGTTCACGTAAAGACAAAAGACACTTCTGCGACACACTGGCAAGTGAAGCAGAACAGGCTGCAGGCTGGTAGGAGAGACCTGACAACATTGTATCAAATAATCAGGTTGTTATCTGGGAAGAGATCAACACAGAAGAAACCAATAAACGATGATGACAGAAATTTAATTGCGAAAAAAATCAAGCAAAGGAAAGGATGGACTGACCACTTCGAAAAATTCTTGAATCGACCACCACCGCCACCTGCACTTTGTCCAGAAATACCACCTGCCGCCGCTGATTATAAGTGAACATAAATCCTCCAACAAATGTGGAATCCTGAACGCCATAAAGCTACTGAAATGCAGGAAGGCAGCAGGACCAGATGGGATCACGCTAGAAGCACTGAGAGCAGACAAAGAGACAACAGCGGACATGCTCACACCACTATTGCTGAAGGTGTGGAAGGAAGAGAAGGTACCTGCCCATTGATTGGAAGAAGGGTTACCTTGTCAATCTGCCGAAGAAGGGCGACTGAAGTGTTTGCAAGAACTGGCGAGGAATCACTCTCCTGTCCACACAAAGCAAGTAAAATATTAAGCCGCATCATCCTGGAGAGGCTAAAGGATGCACTGGATTCAAAACTACGACCGGAACAGGCAGGCTTCAGGAAGTACAAATCATGTGCCGACCAAATTGCAACGCTTCGCACCATCATAGAACAGAGTATAGAATGGCAGTCAACTCTCTCTCTACCTCAACTTTATCGACTTTGAGAAGGCCTTTGACAGTGTCTACCTAGAGTTCATTTGGAAACTGCTTCAATACTACGGAATACCGCAAACCTTTATCAGCCTCATTCAACAACTATATGAAGACGCCACATACCAGCCAAGTAATTCACAATGGGAAGCTCAGTGATGCCTTTGAAGTGAAGTGAGGACAGGAGTGAAACAAGGTTGCCTACTATCCCCCATGATATTCCTGAATGTGGTGGACTGGATCATGCAGCAAACAGTGGGGAGCTGTGAGAAGAGAGGGATACGCTGGACTGAGGAAAAGAACCTAGAAGATCTGGATTTCGCCGATGACTTGTGCCTGATGTAACACAAACTTGAAGATCTACAGGCGAAAACTAACAAGTTGTCAGAAGAGGCGAGGCAGCGAAGACGGGACCTCAAGTGAATGTAGTGAAGACAGAGGTGATGAAGATACCGCAGCAACAACTCTAATAACAACATCAAACTCCAATCACTATCAACGGGAGAAACTTAAATGAAGTAACTTCCTTCACATATCTAGGAAGCACTGTTTCAACTACAGGTGGCGACACAGACGAGGATGTCCAATTCGGAATCGGAAAAGCAGGACAGGCGTTCATTAGCCTGAAACCAGTGTGGATATCTTTTGCACCCAGCATGTGGAATAAGATACGGATTTTCAACACCAACGTCGTCAGAGCTTCTGTATGGTTGGGAGACTTGGCGCGAAACGAAAGGGATTTGCAACAAACTGCAGACATTCATCAATAACTGCTTACGCTGGCTCGCTACTGAAGATCAGATGACCAGAAAGAATAAGCAACAAGGAGCTCTAGGAACGAACCAACCAAGAACCAATCACGCAACAAATATGCAGGAGGAAGTGGAGATGGATTGGGTTGGGCATACACTGAGAAGGCCTTTTGGGGACATCACGCGTCAGGCCAGGCCATGGAGTGGAACCCCCGTTGGAAGCCATGAGTTGGACGTCCGAGGGTGACATGGGGGAGATTGTGCGAGGAGGAAATGAGAGGTTGTGGGCTGTCGTGGAACCAGGTTCAACAGATTTCAGAGAACAGAGTTCGCTGGAGACGTGCTGCTGAAGCCCTATGTTCCACTGGGAACCCAAGGGACTAATAATAGTAATAATGTCGACTAAGAGATCCCTATGCATAGCAGGCAACTACTAGACGTTTTTCTTGGGTCGTATCAAAGGAAACACTCTGTGCTAGTTAGACGTATGGAGATTGTCGGAAGATTCATACCGACTCTGATATTTATCAGCCACAGACAACGGAAGTCTGATCATATTCAACAATTATCTTCGAACCTGAGTTAGACGGTAATCTTTAAATCGAAGGAATTTAAACAAGAATAAGCTCAACATATTCTGTACATAGTTAACCTTCATGGTAGTTAGAAATTTTCACTGATCTACTATGCTTACTTTGTTATCTTGGTGAGAAGCAAACAGAAACAAATGTCTCATAATTAAATGCAATGGCTTCCCAATACATAGTGGGGGTTTCAATGCCCCTGATGTACACTATCTCTGGGTGACTTCTGTCATATCTTCGCTTTCATCTAATAATGGGATCCTTTTCTCAGTCCTGAGACATTAAGTGATGCAAGATGACTTCAGTGCCACAAGTTACCGTTCGCACCATACATCCGCATTGCAGAAGGTTATCTCTAAGCCTTAATCTGTAGTGCAATAAGATCAGCAAACGACGGCCACCCCATACTTCAGGTGAGTTACGATTTGGAGACTTATGAACATGTTCAAACTCATCCAAATTTCTATCATCCAGGCAGCGTGGTCAGGTTGAAAAATACAGATCAACAGACTGATATTGAGAATAGAATATTTTAACCTACAAACATTTATTTTCTCAAGATACATAAAGTTGTTGGCTTGAAGAACTAGATTTATTTAAGTGAAATCCAACCATTTCTTCATCTCGTAGTTTGTTCAACTTGTGACCGATACCGGTGGAAATTGTGCCGACGGTATGTGTCCACAGCAATTGTAGTTACTAAATAGTCTGGGCTTTACAGTTTATAATGTCAGTAAAGTCTCACTTCAGTTATGCAGCTGCTTCCCAGTTCAATCGCATAGGATCAAATTTGGAAAATGAATACATTCAAAATATTGGAGCAATACCAGAAATTTTTGGTGGAAATAGTCCATGTGAATATCAAGACTGAACCAAAGTAGCAATCACTGGTTTTAATCTCACATACATTTCATAAACTTCAAGCTTTAGGAATGCATCATAGTGACGTCAAGAAAGCCCCGAAGTTTTCTTGCGTAAATCTTTGAAGTCTCACGTTATCATGTGTTTCTGACCACCAAAGTCATTCATTTTCCAACATAAGTTATTCATTGTAGTATGTCTGTATGCGATAGGTGTGACCATATTAAGAAGTTGATTGGATGCGATCTCTACTAATGCAAACACTTCAACGGCAGTCTGCCTGAGCTTTGGATTGCTCATAAAATTTTCCAAGAGACATGCTAATATCGACTTTCCATCTCTCAGTTTGTTTTAGTCTTTCATTCATGACCTCCAAATGCAATACATTCCCGTGACGATTTTTAAAATGTTCCGGACTAGTCGTTTTTGGAAGTAATAACAGAATGAAGGAAACATGTCATATTAGACGGAAATAAACTTCATAGTGCCCAGAAATACATAATATTTCTATTGTTCAGATACTTTTCGACCTCTTTTGGCAGATGGGACTCTATGAGGATGTATTAATACCTCTTAAATATTCAGTATCTGTGACCTAACTGGTAGCCGGCGGCGGAATCCAGGATGCGCATTTTATCTTAATTCGTTGCCTCTGGACTGGTTTCGCTGCTTTACTTCTTTTCCTTTTTCCAGTGTATGAGGCCGCTACTCCGGAATCGGATGTCATGGAGATGGCAATCATCCAGTGAGACTTCTTCGAAAGAAACAATTTCGCCTGAGGCATAAAGACTACATTACGTCTGAGAACATCGCTGGTGTTAGATTTACCCATATAGACACACTCCGGAGATTCTCTGGCTTTCTCGTGAAAACGGTTGGAGGTTCCACATTTAGTAACGAGTACATACGTTCGTACACTTATATTCTAGATGAGTTGACTGCGAACAGCGTGCGGACTGTAGTTAACGAGCAGTGAGAATGACAAGTCCAATGTCTGGATACCAACTGGCAACTGCGACTAGTCAGATAACGGCAAGTACGCAGATAACATCGGGCAGCCAATCAGAGGAAAGTAAGGAACGATGCACACCAGCTACAATCACTCACGAGTGATATGATCGATAAAGTGAGAAATGCTCTAAACGGCTCCATTGTTTTCGTCAAAATCTGGAAGCATACGCACCAACCATGATAGTGTGCTTATCAGTGGTTACATACCCAAAGAACCTTTTGCAATCACACCTCCGCCCGATACCCGATGACCCTTAATGAGAATTTTAGACCAATAGATTTCATCATTCTCGCTTCTAGATCGTCCATGGTGATTTCGCACCTCAGGCAGATTCCGATGCAATGAGGCCACTTGCTTTTCTGCTGCCGCCGTACTGGACTTGAAGGGTGGCTCGATGTTGACAAGCTTTCTTGAGCGATGTGTGATTCGTTTTGGGATGGTTGCATATTCAGGCTCCTCACTGAGTGTCTCCAGAAAGGTGACGAAGGGAATATAAAGAGAGTGGGAAGTCGGCTCGAAGAAAAAAATGAAAAGAAATCACTAAAGGAAAGGAAAAAGATCAAGGTGAACGAAAAGGGGTGGCGTGGTGGATTCCAGGAAGACGGAGGATAAAACATTAATATGGAGAATTTGAAGACATAAGTTCGGATGGTACAGAGCCGGAAAGAGAGAGATGAAAAGGGAGTATTATGGAAAGCACACTGTAGATAGGAATGAAGACAATGTTATTAGTAGCATGGTTACTGCAGAAGTAGGACATGTAACGGAGAAGCTTGAGATTGAGTTGAGTCAACAACATCCGTCGCAACGGAAGACAATCGGTATGGGGGCAGCGGAGTGTTGGATTGATGCGATGTTCGTCTCGTTGTAAAACGACACAGTATTTCCAACTTTTTGGCCACTTGTAATCAGAAGTCTAATAACTGCCAACCCCAGCGTCATCACGACCCGTGGGAGGGGCGAACAATGTGTCCCTGAAGTCCTTCTGGTGTGTTCAGATAAAACTATTTCCCCAGTATGAGGTTGAAAAATGCAGATATTCGGCACTGAGTCACAAAATTCAGTAAGAACATGAATCCCTGATATGAAGTGGTACTAGCATGCATGAAATCCACAGTTCTGAATTCAGTGAAGCGCATAAAATAAAAACGGCTTGCAAGTATCCTTTCATGAACTTTTCATTATTATTCTTGAGCAAAATATATGGGGTATGACAACGGAAGTATTAGCTCCGGGCTCTATTTTTCTGAAGAAGGATGAATGATTTAATGGTAATAATTCGAATGCGCCCGTATCCTAAAGGATCCGAAAGCTTCCTGAGGGTAACTGATTCAAACTGTTGCCCTCGGCTGATCATCACTGTAGAAAGGCAATCGAAATGTGCTACGAATTCTCCATAAAGACTTGATAAGCCATTTTTGCAGCGGTCTTGAACATTGGAATACCTTCTGGCCAACGGGGTAGACGATCGAAGCACGTGGGAAGATACGAATGGCCACCCGAGGGTGGGCCAACGATGTCCAGACGACCATAGAGGAAACATATATCAAGTGCGGCAAAAGTGCCAAATGGTTTGACATGATGTGTGTGTGCATGTGAACACTGGAATCATATATAAACATGCATGCGATCTCGCACACCACGAATAATTCCTGGCCAGACAAACCTAGCCGATGCCAGCTTTTCTGTGGCACGGATATCAGGGCGGAGAAGGTTGAGGGGGGCCTCGAAAACTGTTCGACGCACATGCGGGGGAACAAAAGTTCTCGGGTGCCTGTGGAGATACCTCACAATGTGGTACAATCACTATTTGTAAGTGGAACACTCTCTTCCTTCAATGATGTGTGATGCTAAACATTTTGCACGCTAATCAGATACCCGCGGTTCAGCAATTTCCCGCAGATCAATAGTTCGAGGCACCTTAGCTGTGTAAACGTGGAAAAAGAATCAGCTACAGGGTTATCCGTACCATGGGTTTGAGGAGCATCTGATGTGTTTCGTGAAATTTAATCCGAGTGATGCAGTTCACGCAGAGCATAACTATCCACAGTGATATAATGGGCATGCGTTATGGGTTTGCGATCTGAACTGGGATCTGATAATGGGCGCGCGTCAAGTCAAGTTTACGGAGGACGGACGAGTCTGCAGAAGATGCATTAAAGCAGTACGCGTGGGTGACTGGACAACGATACGGGATCGTTTTAGTTTTGAGTATTCGGTAGTCTCCCCAAGGCCTCCGGTCCAGGTCACTGTTTTTGCGTACTACATGCAAGCATGAAGACCATGGACCATCAGGCGGTTCGTAAGGACTAGAATTGTCCGTTGTCAAGTACGCTGGCCTGACACGGAAATGAACAACCTTAAGGAATAGGTTGTGTTGAGAACGAATGGACGGAAGTGAATACGGTAAAGGGTGGACCTAGACCACCGGCTACTAAGCCTAATATCCTGCATCCGCAGGACAAGAGAATGGATTCCATTATTCTGTTCAATGTCCCTGTACCATCAGACTCACTGTTGGAAAAAAGAGAACGGTCTGACGAAGAAAAGTGGGACGGCTACCAAGGGAAGCTAGGAATGGAAACCATTGAGCTAACGTATGCCGGCTCTCCCAGTGGAGTAGGGTGCCTCGATAAAAACCTCTACCTCTCAGGATATCAGCAGTGATAACAAAACGGCCGGGGAACATACTACTGACGTCGCGCCAACCAGACATTGCAGGCTCCTGCCCCATAAGGGTGAAGCCAGACGATTCTTGGGTCACCAGAAAGGCAGGGAGAAAGCTCTCACTTAGTGATCCGCGTGAAGCTGCAAGCATGGTGGTGCGTGGAATACCCGAAGTGGCGGGTGGATCCACAAAGTGTGATAACTGCCCCCGCGATCTCGAGCAGTGGAGGTGATTAGAGGCTGAAATGGGACTTGGAAATTCGCCAACCAGCAGCGTCAGTAGGTTGCAAAGACCTACGCGTCCGCAGAGTAGTTCGCCACCAAGATTGCTGGCTGTTCGCTCTGAATGCAAAGCATCACTGGCAGAAGTTCTCACAACATTGTACAGTGTAAAAGCCGAATAGGAGGCGCTGTACGATGCTACCAAGGTAAACCACTATCTACCAAACTGAAAGACAGGAGGCAACCCCAAGAATGCTACAGACAGTACTGGTCGCATAAGAACTGGCTAGCGAATTACCCGTAGACGTAATAAATGGTACCGTCACACCAACACCAGGATGCCAAGAGGGACCAGTCCAGCAGGGACTGCGAGTCAGAATCTGACACAACAGCAAACCAGCCTCTAAGTAAGTCCCCATATCTCACTGGGCCAAGAACGCAACTCCTTGACATGCTTCTGCAGCAATGTAAGAGGCCTCAGGAGTAAATTGCTGCAGCTAAAAACAATGTGCCATAATATGCAAGTAGATGCAGTCCTCATAACGGAGACATGGCTTTCATCAGTCACCGTGGATGGGGAAATATCTTTGCCTGACATGATCCTGTTCCGAAAGAACAGGTAGTTCGAAGAATGCGGAGGAGTTGCCGTGTAAATTAGCACTCACCCACTAGTCAAGGAAGTGACCGATGGCGCAGTTAGCTTACTGCCACCCCTTGTTTTACCATGAACCGAACGAAGTACCTATTAGGAGCGGCATATAGGCCTCCCCATTGCATGAAGAAAAATAGGACACAATTGCTCGCCTCCGTTTCAGCAACCACCTTGGCAGCCTACTACTATGTAGTCCTTTATGGGAACTTCAACTCGCCAGCACTCCACCCGGGGTATGAAGTAAGCTGTGGGCATAAGTCTTTCGAACATAAACTTCGAAGTACGTCTATAGCAGAAGGACTGATAGAGAAGGTTGGGGAAAACACCAGATGGGGACCAGATGGAGAAGGGTCACCGCTTGACTACGCGCTAGCAGACGGTGATCTTTTGGTGGGTGACACATGCGTCCAACCCACCTAGGTAAAATCGAGATTCCCTCT